CCCACTTTGCAATAGGAAGGGATATTGATTCATCTAATTTAGAAAGTGTTCTGTATATTTTAGATAATAATTTGGGGGATTTAAGAGTAAGGAAATGTTGGTGGTGTTTGTAATTCAACTTGACTGAGGTTAAATTTCTTTTTTACTATGGATTTAATTTGTTGATATTCTAAAAATCTTTTCTTGTTGATCCCATATTGTGCAACTAGTCTGTCAAATGGAATAAATTCTGTTTCCTCTAATATATGTTCTAAGTATTTAATTCCTTTACAACTCCATTCTGGGAAATTAATCATATTATTGTTCTGTAATATGTCAACGTTATTCCAGATAGGTGTACGTTTGCTTGTTTGTTTTTCTTTATCACTACAGACTAACATGCACAAAACCCACCTGCATCACAAAGTTCTCCGGTATAGCCACTTTCACAGTGACAGTATGCATCTCCTGTGTCTGAGATCTGGCAGCGACCATGTTTGCAGGACAAGTGACGGCAGGGGTTAAACAGCTCCCCTTGTTGGTTACACAGGGCTCCGCGGTAACCCTCTGCACACTCACAGCGGTATGACTGAGAATCCAGAGGGATGCATTTTCCATGGACACACCTATTTAAGAGGCAATAAACTCAATAAATATAAATATAAAGTTTAAAAACTTGATCCACACTAAGCTATTCCATTTGCTGACATACTTGCTGCCCTGGCAGGGGTTGCTAGCAGGCTGGTCACAGTGCGCCCCGCTCCAGCCTGGCTGGCAGTGGCAAACAGGTCCTTGGACCCCATCAGGTTGGCATATGCCATGTACACAGTAGATCTTCTTGCAGGGCTCGCAGCCCGGTACCACGCCAGGCTTCATCTGGGTCTTGGTGAAGTCCTGAAGCTCGTTGTTTATGTACAGGTTCTGGATACAGCCATGGAAACTGGAGCTATTCTGGATCTGCCAGAGACGGAAAGTGCCCGAGTGCACGTCCACCGGCATGCCTGGAGGAAGGAACGAGAGAAAGGATGGTTATATACAAGGACGTGCATACTGAGTCACACGCACAGACATCTAACACAGGGCTGGTATGAGTGTAATGGAGACTGATATTTTCAAGCATGTGTGTCCCAGCAGTGTGTAAACCACTTCTCAGATTAGTATATACAACTGTTTTTTGTTGGAGTTTTTTTTAACTAATTTTGATTTTTTTACATTTGCACTATAAGACACATCATCCTTGAAATGGGGGACAACAAAAGGGAGAGAGGTATGGAAAAAAATGTCTCCTGTAGTTTGTATGAATGAAGAACAGCACGTCACAGCACATCACAGCAGGAAAAACAAACAGCACCAAGTCTGAGCCACTCCTGATCCGATATCAACCCACAAATGGGGGCTGAAATGCAACAAATCTAAGGTGTAACATTAAAGGTTTATTTTTTCAGTTTCAAAGTCTGATTCTATCAAGAGTGGCTAAATTACATGTAAATTATACAAATGAACACCATGTGCACCATGGGGGGAAAAATGCATGCAAATACAAAACTAATCTGAAGTCGAGACTGTGTGTGGTAGTTTGATTATGATTCTAACACTAGATGGCGTAGTTCACACACTATAAAAAAGTGCTTGAAGGACGAAGTCTATAGAGAGATGCATTGTGTTTTTACTCTAAATTATGATCTATTATTTTTGAGAATGATGTTCCTTCAGCTGTGTGGTGGTTAACACATTTGCAAGGGAAAGGTTGCGGGTTGTACTTCAGCCTGAAGGGCATCTGGTGTAAGCCTCTGTTAAATCAAAGATGCAGTGCTACCTGGTTCAGAAGAAGCTGAACGTAGCTTTACTTTTGAGAATTGTGTTCTATGAGCTTCCTGTTCATGATTAAAAAAATGTGTGTGTGTGTTAGTATTCAGGAGGTTTATCTGTATTTTTTCTAGCAAACACAGTCATGACTAAAGGTGGGATGGAGTGGCTAGAGGATAGGGTTGAAGGGTTGAATGGTTGAGGGAAAGGAGTGATTCGGGTGGTGACAAAGCGAAGGGGGAGGGGTGGTGATTGACAGTAGTGTAGTAGTTAAGAGTGCCTGCAGAGGAGGGAGGTGTGTTCTGGAGAGGGCCCCTACCCCCCACGTATAGTGGAGCCTCCCCGTTGATGGGCCGCACTGCCCCAAAGCTGTCCATTGTGGTAGGGAGACCCCCGTCAATGGACAGGTTCACCATCTGGTCAAAGGTCACCAGTTCCACTGTGTGGAACTGACCATCGTTGATAGTCTCAGTACTGGGAAAGGAAAACACAGATTGAAGATATACAGTACAGTCAAAGTGAACACAAAATGCTACGTGCTCATCAGGACTGAGCGAGCAGTGGCACCTTACCTGTATATGGCATGTCCTGGCTGACTGCCGGGGTCATAGCTAACCTTGACATGACCTTGATAGAGCTCCACCGCCATATGGTCATTGTCTCCATTGTACAGCAGGATACCATTGTCCTCCGCTGTTGATACCTACAGAGAGATCATTTTTGGATTGGGTGTTTGAGTTATTCAGGCTTTAGCACAGAAAGGCAGTGGAAGCACACTGAAATGGTAGAAATGACTGCACATACTTGTAGTGTGATGTTAGCTTGAGGCCAGTTCTTAAGGTCAGAGAGCAAGAGGTAGGAGTCTCTGTCGATGAAGTTGACGCTGACCAGCTTCTCACAGCGTGGCCCTCCGAACTCAGGAGGACACTGGCAGAGGGCGCGCCCACCTCGCTCCACACATGGGGCGTTGTTCTGGCAGTCGGCCCGCTCGCACAGTGACAGTAGAGATGGGGGAACCTCGCATAACTGACCGCTAAAGGAAGACAGACAGTGAGGGGATTTTTAGGAGTGTGATCCGATTAAAGCAGAAGAAACTAAGAAGCCAAAAATAATGGCACACTTGTCCTCTCCTCACCTATATCCTTCAGGACAGATGCATGAATATCCATTTAGCTCGTCCACACACTGAGCTCCATTCTGACAGCGATGCTCCTCGCAGTCATTATAGTCTACACTGCAGTCATCACCAACATAACCAGGAGAACACACACACCTGCAATGCAAAAATACAAAATATAAATCGTCTATTTCCCAACATACAGCTTCAGAATTGATTGATCTGGTGCTTCTGGGAGTAAAACATACTTGGGTCCAGAGGATGTGATGAGGCAGGTAGACTCGTGTTGGCAGGGGCTCCGACCGGGGGCACACACATCTTCCATTTCTTCACACATTTCACCTGCAAAAAGGCAAAGGTTTTAGAGAAGGTGGTTAACGCAGAGCATAATCATATTTTTCATAGCGTAAAACCTTCTTTTTAACTGATATTTTGTTACTGTGCAGCTGTTTCTTGATCTTAACTATGCTGCATCTACTAACCTGTGTAGTAGGGGGGACAAAAACAGGTGTAGTTGTTGACACCGTCGATGCAGGTTGCTCCGTTCTCGCAGTCGTTGTCATCGCAGTCATCGATATTGGTTTCGCAAGTCGGGCCCTCGAAGCCCAATGAACATGTGCAACTGTAAAAGCAAACAAATCCATCTCATCAAGTTCTGTCTTTGATTAAGATTTCATTCCTTACCTTCACTGATTTCCTCACCTGTACTGTCCCTCTTGATTTGCATCCATTCGGCAGGTTCCTCCATTGGCACATGGGCTGCTCACACAGGCGTTCAGAACCGTCTCGCAGTTCTTTCCCTGAAACAGAGGCCAGACTAAGGGATCTGCCAAAAATGATGCTACTCACGTCGGTAACCTCTCAACTGGTCTTCACAGGTAGGTGGTAGCACTGTGTAGTTACCTTGAATCCCGGAGGACAGCTGCACCTGTAGATCTCCACCAGGTCGCTGTGGCAGATGCCATGGTTCTGGCACGGACTCGACAGACAAGGGTTACACTTGGCCAACACTGCCGTGTCCACATCACCTAGAGGAAATGCCAAAGCTTATATTTCATTTTTTTTACAGGTACAAGTGACCAATCTAAGATGAAATTCCTGCGCTGAACACAATAACTCACCTGAACATTCAAATTTCTTTGCAGGTGTAGTCAGCAGAAGTTTGCCCTCCATGCCCTGAGGACCAGCACAGCGGGCGATGCCGGGCTCTTTGTATCCAGTCTTGACCCAGTCCGACAGCCAGCGCAGGTGACAGTCACAGTACAGCGGATTGGCACCGATTGCCCTGAAAATTCAGAGATCAGTCATTAGTAATCAGTGATTTAGGCTCTTTCAGTATAAGTCTACCCACTGTAGTGCACTCTGTCACCAGCAGGTGTCTCTACATTCTCATATAAAGTAACACTCACTTAAAAATCAACTTGATGTCCTAGACAAAAAAAATCAGAGCCTCCCTAAGAATAAAACAGCTCTAAAGTTTAACGCTCAATGCCACTTTGGGCCATGCATTATCAGGAGGAAGGCTGTTCAATTACGGCAAAGGTGTGAACAGAAGGCACTCTTAACTGCTTCTGTCATGGTGGTCAGGAATCAATGGCGCTCTGTCCTCCCACTGGATGCACAAACACTCCTGAATCGATGCTGTTCCATTACTGCGGAACACAGGCTCATCTTTCAGGCCGAGCCAATAGCTGACACCTGACATCTGCTTACATGAAAGCCACTTGACTGTGACTGTGGATCAATGGCTCCCCTCCATCCCTCACTTCGCCCCATTTTCATGAAGCCTCGACTCTTCCTCTGCTCTCCATGAAATGTCTTTGTTTAGTTCTCCCTATGCTTCCTTCTGCCAGAGCTCCAGTGTCAAAACTGGAGGACACCTACAGATTGACAGATCTATCTGTCGTCATCATCTTTTTTTGGCAGCTCCCTTGGGGGTCGCCGCATTTGATGCATCTCACCCTATATCTAGCATCTCACCCTGTCCTCCTCCTCTGTCACATGACCCGTCTGCATGTCCCGCTTCACTACATCCTATCTCCTCCGTGGTCTTCCCCTCCTGCCTGGTAGCTCCATATTCACGATAAGTCTATCTATCTAATAGGCAGATATGTCTACTGATCAGCAACTGTCACGAAATGATGTGACAATTTATGCTGGATGGCAAAAGCCATGCACAGCCAGACGCCCAACTCACACAAAATTGCAGACAAATAAATAAACACTGAAGTCCACAGACCATGAAAGATATGTGTGTGCAAGTCAGTGAATGTTTGTGCTTCAAAGATGTCACACAGGGAGATGAGAGAGCAGAGGGGTCTGTGTGTTGCTTGAACCGCAGGACTGCGGCTGATTAAGGGAGGGCTCGTCTCATGCAGAGCCGACCAAAGAGGACAACAGACAGCCCGCTGTGAGCCACACTCTGGCTGTGTGTGCAGACGGCTCCTGTACCTGACAGTGCCTCTGTGTGTGTGTGTATGCATTTTTGTGTGCAGCTACATGTATGTACACTTAACATGGTAAATGCAGATGGTAATGGTTCTGGAAATGGCCATACAGTTGTGTGTTACTACTTACAAATGGGAAAGTGAGGACACGTCATTAAAGATGCCATCGGGAAGCTCTGAGATTTCATTGCCATGAAGAGACCTTAAGGGTGAAGGGGAAGGAGAGGACAAAAAGAGAAAATACATGAAGACATCTGAGCACAGAAAGAAAATCATACTATTAGAACAAAGTTCAAAAGAAGATTTACTGATTGGTCAACTGCCAGAAAATCAACTCGTTTTTGATTTGTTAAAACACACTAGTATTATTTTTTTTTAAAAAGACAAGTATTTGAATGAACGGTCCCATTTCAGTATTTATAACGGTGCTCCTGTGTCCAAATGGTAAAGCTATATTTTTTTCAAAGTAAACCAAAGAGTCAGTATATTAATTGTCAGTGCTGGGTTGATTGCTTTCCAACAAACCGAAACCAGAAATATCAGGAACAATGACGCAATGTTGTCTTGGCATTCTAAATGAGCGGGAGGTGGTTTGTGTTTCTGGTAGAGCCATGTGCAGCTGGCAAAGATACGAGGCTCTGTACGTCTGGAAAAGGCTGGTGTCAAGTTTCTATGCGCGTCTGGCTGGCAGGGCCAACAGGGGTATAGAGTTGGGGGGTTAAAGAGAGCTGTACCACATGCAAGACAGTGTAAGTGTGTGTGCAGACAACGAGGAACAATTATGTGCTTGTATATTTGGGCACATGCATTAATATTAATCCTGGTGTGTTTTTGCATTATTTTGAATCTACTGTTATTTTCCTTGTTCTCAGACTGCTACTGCTACCAAGGTTGACAAGCCTACATGGCTTAATGGCTACATGATTGATGGTCATTGTAATCCGTCAGGTCATTACCACCTCTAAACCTCAGCTGACCGCAAGCTAATGTTACCACAGCTCAGTCCACAATAACAGTACATGACACATCTGCTCTCTATGCCTGGATGAAGAGAACTGATGTATAAACAGACTCTGAAAGTAAACTGCCTTCTTTGTTGGACTTGTCAATCACGGTGAAACTGCGGAAGAGTCAGAGGAAAGGATGCGGAGAGGGAAGTTGGTCAGTGTAAGAATACTAAATACTAGAGGAAAAATATACAGTGTAACCTGCCTGAGACAACACGCTAATTGGCCTGTGTGCCATGGAGAATGCTTATTAGTGTAGAGCGCGTAGGTGGGTTGTGGTAGTTGGAGGATACCGAGGGCGTAAAGCCAGCAGCAGTGTGCCAGTCAGGGAAAGATCTCATGGGAAAAAAGGAGCCATGGAGTCTCCAGGAAGAAACTTGATCTGCGCTCCTGCTAACATTCTCTCTTTTTGACTTTTCTTTGCTACGGCTGTATATCATTCTGTCAATTCACGTTGCTTATGCCAGCTTATCTGCAGCCGATTCCCAGAATGAAACCGATTGACAATTCGATGGCTTATGTCTACACAGAGTGTGGGAAGTCTGGTTCTGTGAGCCACATGTCTGTTTTGTTTTTGTTGAAAGCTTTACATTCATTGTTTTTTTTCCTTCTCTTTTCTTTCATATCACATTAATTTCTTACAGGTTGCTACTCAAACCCCTGCGGGCCACACCCTGGCGCTGTCTCAGCTCACTCACCTCACACCTAATACTCAGCAGGCCAATTAGAAGCGTATTAATCTGCAGCTTAAACCACAACCACCATACAAACACACACACATGCGTGCACACTCACACAGTGCCGCTTGCAATCACACCACATCCATGCCAGCCTCAGACCCCTGGTTTGTTTGAAGAAGTGAGCGTTAATGATTCTTCTCCTCTTTTACTGCTGTGTAAAGCCAAAGGTGCAGCTTTATAAAGGCTCTGGCACCTCGGCGTGCGCGACTGCACATGAGCGCGGCGCTTTTGGCATCTCATTGTGGTTTCCATGAAGCTTCCAACTTTGAACTCTGAACTTTTTGTGGAGTCTGAAAGTTTAAACTATTAAACTGAGCTCATTGTCGCTCGAGATTTGCTGCACCCCCCACTGTATTTCTAAGCAAAGAAAGAAATGCCACAGCTCCAATTGACATTTAATGGGAGGCTTATGATTGATCACACGGGCAGTAAAGACATCAAAGTTTTCTGCTTCACTTGGACTCCCGTCTGAGTAAGACAATAAGGTAGCCCAGACAGTCTGTGTGTATATATGTGTGTTATTGTATATAGTTCTGAGCCTGTGTGGTGTGTGTGTACGTGTTGGTGGCACTGAGGGAGGGCCTCACATGGCGTCTAGCATACTTGTTCAGGGGAATTTCAGAAGTAAAGGTGGCGTGAGTGAGTAACAGCAGAAATAACGGACACACAGCTTCATTAGAGATCAAAGCTCCACGCCTGGCGTAGCGACGGCGGCATCAGCTAATGATGGCCGAGCTTCACTCTCATTCTACACTAAAAGGGCTCTTACGCTTTGTGTCTCGTAATGATCGGGGGCTTTAGTCGAATCCCACCGTAAAAAGAGGCTTTGTTGAAGCTTTGTTGTCACTAATAAAAAGTGTGCCTGCTATGAGCACACATGGAAGGCTGATAACTGCACTCCCACACACATACTAACAGGCACCAAGCCAGTAGATGACAAACATTTAGACTATGCATATACGGGCATCAGTGCGCACACAGACACACACACGCAGACACACAAATAGACATTGGCGTGCGCGCATAATCTCATAAGGAGTGCTGCTGGGCCTGGTCTCAGTTTCTCCTGTTGCAAAAGTAAACTGTACATTCGAGTTAAAGCTTGAGGCTTCGAGCTGCTGTGCGCTTCCAAAGACTGGTTTCATTTCGTCATCTATCTGTCGAATGCATTTACGATCTACATCTCAGTTATTTAGCAGACGAATTCATCCGCAGGGAGCCCATGGTCACTGAGAGTGCACAATCAAAGACTTCATAACTTCATAAAAGCCCACAGGCAAAGTCAAAACCATTACAGCTAGCGGGGCAAACATTCTCCGGCAATCAGAGTCAGGGTGATTTTGTACAGTGGGATGTGGGAGCATGTGTTTGGCCCTGATGGTGCAGCAGTGATGAGCTCGGGGCACTTGGAGGTGAACAAGCAGACTGGGCAGAAGTCTGAAGAGGAGGTGGTTAGGAGTGGGAGCTGGAATAACACTGCTATTTCCCCCCACAGCTGCCATCTAAACAGAGAAAATAGGTCGGAGTTTATGTGTGTGTCTGTGTGTGTCTGTGTGTGTCTGTGTGTGTATTCATAAGCTGTCATAACTGTTTAGACTGTGTTTCATTCCTCTGGAGTCAATCAAACATTCTCAGCATCTGCTTGCACCATCTCTGTAGTCAGTGCAGGCTGCAAAAATATCCTCCTTAATAACTCATTTAGCCTGAAAGTAAGTCCTGTCTTGTTTTAGAACACTTCTGTCAAAATGACTTCAAATGTTCTCAGTGAGCAGAATGAACACTGTCCTGAAATGATGTGACACCAAAGAAACATTTGATTTTTCATGAAGAAAAAAGTGAAACACTCTCATAGCACAGGCAGTATACATTCTGTATTTGAAAAAAAAAGCACATATATAACACAAATAGTACCTGCATGCAATTCATCTGAAATATGAAAATGAACTCACAGCAGTCGAAGTGAGTGCAGTCCACTGAAAGCCATTTTGGGGATACAGCGCAGCGAGTTATAGCTCAGAATTCTGCAAAGTAAGATCGTCACAAGTGTCACATTTAAGTAGAATTAAAACAAAACTTTTCTAGTTGCAGATAAATTAAAATGACAGTCAAGGCTGGTTAAGACTTACAGAGTGGTAAGCTGACTCATGTTAGCGAAGGATGAGTTGGTCAGAGAGTTTATCTTGTTGTTGCTCAGGTCTCTGAAACGTAAAAAAGGAAACCATTCACTGTACTGATCAACACCAGGGGTGTCAAACATAAGGTCCGGAGGCCAGAATTGGCCCGGCAAAGACTCCAATCTGGCCCACTGGATGACTTAGGAAGAAGAATTTTGGCATGAATTTTGGACTGTAAGAACCGATAAAGACCCCCCCCCCACACACACACACACACCTTTTTATACTACACCAAAGTAATTAAGCAATAGATAATCAATTAAATGACAGTAAAGGTCTTTCTTTCTGTGAAAAAAGACATAATAAACTGGATATTTTCTGTGAATTAACAACAACTTTCTGTTTTATAATTACACAACAGTCTAGGCAACGAGCTACCAGATCTTTTGCTGTAATTTTATAAAGCTGTTTCTTAGACTTTAGGCTCAAAGAGTCATTCTTAAGCAACATTTCTTTGTGTTGTAGAAAAACTGACATACCGGTACTTGAAATTGCACTTCTTTTTATTGCATTAATATATCTCAGGGATTAAATGTGCAGGTAAACACAAAGGCTTAACATCAAAGTGAGCTGTATGTGGCCAACGGTGTAATATAAGTTTGACATCCTGGATATAGACCTTGTAATTGAAGATGTACACAGACAAAAAACTTACACCAGCTGTAGGTATTTGAAGGCAGACAGTTCCTTTGGAACAACACTGAACTGGTTTCCATCTAGATACCTGGACAGACAGACACAAATAGGTTTGTAATGAACCAGCAGGCGCTATCATTGAAAGATAGAACAGCTACAGCAGACTGAAAATATTTACCAGCACTATTTCTTAATGTATTTTCAATCTAAGATTCAACTGATCCACTCATGGCTCTGGTAACCAGTTGGCTAATGTAGCTTCTGGAGGTGAATTTTATGGAGGATACACAGTAACCAGAATATTGGGATAGTGAAAAAATGAATAAAAGAGAAATCATTATCAGTAGCTGATGATTACTGTGCAATCCCTGTTTTACTCTTCTACACACTATTTAACTGCATCACAGCCTGCTCAAACAGGATTGTTAAAAAAAGTTAGAACTTCAATCTTCAGTCTACAAATGAAAACCAGAAAGCTTCTGGTGTCAGATTCTGCATATTCATGTACGGATATCTGCTTACAAGATTTTAAAACAATGTTGCTTGTCAAGACTAGAAGTCAAGCATAGCAAGCATTCCACAGTCATGCTGTTTAAGTAGTCCCATTTCACACAGATACTGGGCTAAGAATCACTTCTACTGTGAAAGAGTGACTAAGAAAAGAAGACAAATGTGTTACTTTCAGTGAATTTGCTTTTTTCTGATTTTCCAGTTTAACAACAATTCCTAAATGTGACCCGGCACTTTTAAAGTGATGTACAAACCCTTGTGTTTATGTGGGCTATGCAAGTGAGTGATGTATACAAGGCACACAACCACCCTCCTGATTACCAACACAAAGTCCTACTAGTGGTGTGTCACTTTGATAAATGGCTGATTTAGGGCCTGGTCCTTCTGAGCAGAGCTGCAGGCTCCTGCTATTGTTCTTGACTGTACACAGGGTGGGAAGCACAGGGTGCGTGGGTGCGGGGAGGTGGGTAGTTAGGAGGCCTTTGGGTTCAGTGGTAATGATAGGTAATGACGGTGCTGAGGACACTTGGGATAATGATGGAGTAGCAAACTCTCCAGATGACAAGATGAAAGCCCAGAACAGAGGGGTACACCTGGTCACACCTGCTGGGACAATGACAGGCCTTAAGGCTCGCACAGCGTGTGTGTGTGTGTGTGTGCCTGAGTTGGTCTGAACCACTTTAAGCATTATTGGAAAGTTCCAGACCTATTCCATTTCCTCCCCTTTCCATTGAAAACTGCTCATTAAAATGTCCTGTTGCTCCCCTATGCTCCTGTGGACAGGCTTTTGGCCCTCACACAAATATTCACACACACACACAAACACACACACTAATCCTTGGCTCTGAGTGTGAGAGTGACATCAGTGCTAGCCCTGAAGGCTGTGAGGAACATAGAAGAAGAATGTCTGAGAGAATAACTACAGGGTTTATTGACTCCTTTCCTATTCCCTAAGTGACGCGATGTGTTTTCTTTGCCCCTGCTGTTAACACTTATCTTTTTTAGAGGCTCATAAAGTCCACTTTACGTTTTTTTTAATGATCTTCCTTGCTTTTAAGGAAAGATGAGGCGAAAATAATACCTGATAAATATAAATGCAATTGGAGCAATTAATTCCAAAGAACTCACAGTTCTGTCACATTCCTGGGGATGCCTTTGGGCAGTGTGTGAAGGTGCTTGTTACTGCAGCGCACCACGGTCTCCAAGCATGTACATTCACTGGGACACTGGGGCCGAGGCACACAGCTTGTCTCCTCTTGGCCTGGGATAAAAGAAGAGAGATATGAGAGAGGAAGACAAAGAAAACATGACCATGAGGGCAGACGTAAATGGAAACAAGCCAAAAAAATAGCTGTTTTTTCTGACCAAAAAACCCCCAAACTTTAGATAGAGTAAAAATAGAAAGCAAACCGAAAGACAGCACAGCATCACAGTAAATTAAACCTGACAAGGCATTGAGAAAATAAAGAAGGAAGAAGTAAAAGATGTGAAAAGCACAAAAACAAAAATTAAAGGACAGAAAGAGAAAGGAGACTCGCTAATGTAGTATTGACCAGCAAAGGCAAAGAATGGAAGCTGCCTAAAGCCTGAAGACAGGTCTAACAATCATTCAGGTGCAAACAGGGTGACTGATCAATAAGGCAAACAGCTCAATAGCTCCACTCAGCATTTCATTGATCAGCAGCTTAGGAACTGCTGAGTATCAATCTATTCAGTAAACAAAAGACTCACACAGCAGTGGCCATTATTTGAGATTATCTCAGAAACTTTAAACAGCTCGTCTTTATAACATACTATGGGTTAAAATCTTCATCAGTCACACCCAGGTTAGTTTCAAACACAGAGAAGGATTAACATATCCTATTTAAGATGCTTTTCTCTTTTCAAGGAGGGAAAAAACTCCACTTACACGGGAGCTGTGGTATAACGTGAAGTAAAGCACTCAAAGCAGCCTACCTTCCTCACAGCGGAAGTCAGGCAGAGCCACATCCTGGAGCGGGATCTCCTTCAGGAAGGCAGGACGCTGGCAGCGAGGGTTACCTGTTACAATCTTCCTGCTCCTCAGCCAATCACCTAGCCAGGCCAGCCGACAGTCACAGTTGAAGGAGTTGGCCAGTAAGTTACTGGGAGAGAGTGAGAATAAAACAGACTGTGAGTGCAATAAAACCTAAAATTAAAGCTAGGCGTGTGAGTGTGGCAGGATCTTACAGAGTGGACAGAGTCTGGAGGGTGTCGAAGGCTCCGGGTGTGATTGTGGTCAGCTGGTTGTCATACAGAGACAACAGACGGACGTTGTGAAGCCCTGTGAAGCTGTCATTGTGGATACAGCTGATCTTGTTGTTTCTCAACATCCTGAGGACAAAAGAAATACACATTAATAAAAAAAAAAACATCAGAAACTTTTCCAAATATGGACAAGTATGGGGTTGTGACTCACAACATTCGCAGTCCCTCAAGGCCACGGAACATCCCACTTCGAACCGAGTCCATCTGATTGGCTGTGAGGTGAAGCTCATTGACAGAGGACGCGCCTTCAAATGCCCCATCCTCAATCTCTGTGATCTTGTTGTTGCTGAGGTTACTGTGTGTTTGTGGGGGGAGAAAGAAAGCATGTCGGAGAATTAAAAGCAGCACTTACTCTTTAGAGAGTGACTGCTGAAAGGTAAGAGGATTTCTACTTACATTTTCTTCAGCTGGGAAAGGTTCTTAAAAGCTCCAGTTGCTTCTAGAGTTGTAATCTCATTGTTGTTAAGGCGGCTAGTGGGAATAAGATTGAAAGGTTTAATCATTCAGACGGAAAAATCCATTCAAATTCTCTTTAGATATTCACTGTGAGTTTTAAAATTTGATTCGTCTACAACTTCAGCGCACAACAGATTCTTCAAATACTTTTTTTTCTTGTTTGCTTACAGTTCGGTGGTGGATGCAGGTATGTGCTCGGGGATTTTGGTGAGCTTAAGGTTGGAGCAGTCCACAACATTCGACTCACAGCGGCACTTGGGAGGACAGACTGGATCACTGTTACATGCATTGTTCAGATGGCTGTCCTCTGTGCCTGAAAAGGAGAAAAAATAGACATTGTTACGGCACAACATATAACACGAGTCATTCTTCCAAACCAGCACAAGTGCCTTCAATCCCATGATGTTCGCAGTCACGCATGCGCCCCCTCAGCAGCTGTGTGTCAGCAGTTTGTCCTGTTGTGACCGAAGAGGAGACTTCCCTACTTTAGGGTACCTTAGGTGCCCTATAGAGCATCCTGCAACCCTCCTACCATTGATAGGAGAAGATGAATGGGTGAGTTACTTTAGAGAGAGGTGATGGAGCATTGGGGTGAAAAGAGAGAGGATTTGGACAGCCAGCTTGAAGCAGACCACCCAAGGGACAGAGGATGAAGGAAGAAAGGAGGATGAGAGAGGCACAGGAAATGACAGGTGGATTTGAAGGAAAGGAGAGAGAGGAAACAGATGCAAAAGGAGGAAAAGAAGAAAGACGAAAGAGAAATGAAAGGTGAGGGGCGGACGTGCAGAGAGACGCCTGTCCTGATAGAGCGAGAATGAGGCAGCGAGGGGAATGTGGGACGTTTTCCTGCACCTCCTCTGTCTATGAATAGATGTTACGTGCCAAAAAGTGTGCTTCAAGTTACATCATGGCTGCTCAATAATGAAAAAGCACTGGGAGCTACTTAGAACAGTGTGTCTTTGTCTGTGAGTGTCTATTGTGCCCCGGTGTGTGTGTATGTATGCATTTATATGTGCATTTAGAGCGTATGTGTGTATATGTTCCATTTAGAGGGAAAAAGCCGGAATTTGTTTTAGAGCTTTGTTTTGTGTCCCATTCCCCTTTTGCATGCTCACATCAGTGCACCATTCTGCCTGAGGTTTAGCGATGACGTCAGTGGAACCGCACAGGGCACCCAGACCACAGTCATGAGCAGGAAAACCTCAAACAACCAGGACAAAATCCTACAGTTGAATATCAAAAATCTGTCCAAACAAGACCTAATCCCAAAACCTCATTGCTGACTTTATTAGAATACCTTTGGACAGTGACAAAAAAAAATTCCCAGAAACCACTTCCTCTTGTTGCCTGTGCAAAAAACATTTTTTCTGGAGCTGTGTCACTTCTCAGTGGCTCAGCGGAGCGGAGGGTGCAGACAGACACGGTAATGCTGGTCATTAAGGAACTTTTCCCTCGCTAGGCCAGACACAGGAAAAGGCATTTCCTGCGATGGAGGAAGCAATGAAAATACAGCACAGAGCTTTGATCTCGAGGATGTAGAGGAGCCAGGGGAGATTTCGTGAGCCTGAGTCATCGTCATCGTCACAAGTGCATGGTGGTGACACTTTTACTGTCAGCAGATTTACACGAAATCAGAGAAAATAGAGGGCAGAGGGATGAGGTTTTTCCCTCTCTGAGGTGCAAAGTGACTCATCGCTGGAGTTGCAGAAGTTCTCATAAATCTCTGCAACTCGGCCCCCATTATCAAAGTTACTGAATTCCCATGCTATCAGTGATTTGGACGTGTGTTTCCATTGTGGAAGCTTTAATTGTTATCAGTCAGGAGAGGGTTAAATTCTTATTAATCACGTTCCGCTTTGATCTTCTTTCTGCTTATATAGGACTCCCATTTGTTCTCTAAGCCAGTGCAAGCTTTATCTCAACTTAGCACACAAAGACACATTAATTTCCACACACGTACACACAGATATACAAGCGTAGACAATGAATCACCCAAGCATACGCAACCCCACTAAGGCACACGCACATACACACACGCAGACTTTGACACACATCACTGCTCCTCCCGGTTATTTTCTTGGAAGTGCTCTTGTTAAGAGGTCCGGAAACATCCGCCGATAGGAATCTCAGTCCTCTGGTGGGCTTTATTTTCTTTAGCTTTTACTGATAGAAAGGACACACTTTCTTTCCCCCTCTGTCTCGCTCCCTCTGCCTCCTTTTCTGTCCCTCTCTGTGACTGACTGTCTGTGCTAATGCCAAAGCAAAGACACATTTCCTTTGGACTATCTGCTGAGACTGTTAGGGAAACAAAGTTGAGAAGAAACAGATGCTCTCACACATATATATCACATTAAAATTCACACATAGGGGCAGTAACTCTTGGGCGCTATTAGGCATTCTCGTGTGCACTTTTATCTTAAGTATCTCAACAAACGGCATATTTTACTTGTCACTTTAAAATTGCCAAGGTTTATTTTTTTGGTTGTTATTTTTGAAACAGCGAAGGGAAAACTGTTGTCCAGACAATATCTTCTTAAGGAAAGGCCTTGCTTATTTCAGCAAGACAATGCCAAAGCAAATTTCGCACAACACTGCCTGCCCTGCTATCCAAATCTATCAACCAGTAAAACATTATGTGCTTTATGAATAATGACAAAGGAGGCCATAACCTGCAGAAATAGTAGATCGGGAAAGAGGAGGGAAACGTTTTGCTTTTAAACCGACAGCGATTGCCGTCTCCAACTGCCAAATGCTTACTGCCCATTTTCAAAAGAGGTGATGCAACATAGTTATAAGTGCTGACTTACCGGTATTTTGATATTTTAGAGCATGTTGCTAAATCAAATTCAGATTTTTCATAAAAATTGACATTTCCCACACCAAACATTTGGCATTGTTTTCTGTTAATTACATAATTTTAATTGGCAAATCACTGATTCCTACAAGACTTCCACATGAGTTTGGCTAACCTGCATGTTCATATCTAGCATGATCATCTGAATGCTTGCTGTTCTTTCTGACTCAATTATAGCATTTTTAGAAATGATTGCAAATATACAAAAGTAATGCCCGGGCTGTAATAAACTGAATTTTTTTTCCTTTAATTTGTGGAGAACTTTGTTTAAATGAATAGTAAGCAATGGAAAAGTGATGCTGGTAGATGGCTGCAGGTGGAAAATTAGAGAAAAGAGAACGACAATGATAGGGGTGAAGGTTTACAAGCCACTCACCTGGGATGACGTACTGCTCTTTGGCTGTGATGGAGAAAAGAAAGAGGGACGGATGTCAGTGAGACCAGTCTGGTCTGCATAGCTTTGGCACTGCTATGCTTCATATCAGTCATATATAAAGTTTATATATGACGACACATGATTTAAGGTATATGACAATTAAACAGAGAAGCCTAGGACTATCTCTGTGTGGCAATATGGAGACACTAGTAACAATGTAAAAAGGTGGTAAATATTTGGCTGTTGCTAAGGAAGGGTGACATGAGGGGAAAGAAGGAGACGGTGAGAAAGAAGGAAAAAGTCAAAAAGGAAAAAAAGAAAAGAAAGTAAAAACAAAGAGAAAAAACACATGGACTCCCTTCTCCACCAGATCGAGTCAAACAAATGAGTCTATAAAGAAGTGTGAAACCTCAGCAGGTCAGAATGCCAGACAGCGTAGCAAAGTGTGTACACACAATGGTGGGCACACAGTGGAGGGAGTGGGAATGGTGGAGTCTGGCTAGTGTCATGAAGAAGAGAGAGAGAATAAGGGGCCATGAAGGAAACATGAGCCCGGTGGATAGTGAGCAATGAAGAGAGCAAGAGGAGACAGCGGCTGGTAGGGATGGGAGCCTATGACTGGCAAAGGGCAGGGGAATGGTGGGCACAGGCAGAAACTCTAAGCCCTAACACCAGCCTGGACTGGTGATCTCAGCTCACTGCGGTTTGAATGTGAAACCAGACTCACGATGTGGTATTATGCAGGGAAAGTGGAGAAAAAGCAAACAATCCCTCTCTCCTTGGCCCCAAGTTCATCTGGGCAGATATTGATTGAGTAGCAGCAGCACAGCAAATGATAGGCAAAGTAAAACCTTCTGCCGGGACTGATCGCTCATTGAATGCGCTATCATGGAGGGATAAAAGTCACTCCCAGCAGAGAGAAAGACAGAAGGTCAGCGAGGAGCAGCGTGAGACAAGTGGCATAAAAACAACAAAGCCTGTCTGAGAAATAGAGAAGACCAGCAGGGATGAAGCAGAGTGACACGGAGCCACCGGCCTACCAGAGCAGCGGAACTTCTTGCTCTTTATCTGCCCGATGCGTTTGTTTGCGAGCCGCCGTGGGCTGGCGCAGCGGGCGCCGCTTGTCTCGATCGGGTTGGTGCGCAGGTAGTCGGCCAGCCACTTCAGATTACAGTCGCAAATAAATGGGTTCTGGGCCAGGTGACTGGAAAAAAGTTGAGAGGAAAAGACAGAAGAAGAAAGGGAATAAATACATGAAAACTGATGTTCATGTGTGGGCACAGACTCTCACCTGGAACCACAGAAACACATACCTGAGCAATAATTTAAGATTAAGACTTGAAAAACACATTTATTATCCAACCAGACCGTTTCTGTGTCATTTGTTCACTTTGGAAGACATATAATAGAACTAAATAGCGCTCTCTGAATAGTGTTTTGTAGCGGGAAAAACAATCTATAGCTGATTTTGTTGTTAACTTCGAGCAGCATCCAGCTCACGTAGCCAGTCTGGGGATGCCAGAGACTGGTAGAAACGCTCATTGTGCACTTTCATCCCATATTTTCAATCAAATGTAAAAACAAGCTTGAGACACTTTAATACAGTGCTGTTTTAAGTTTGTGTGTATGTGTGGTGAGACAAGCCATACCACCATCATCATCACCACTATCAACCTCAACAGGTGTTTCTATGACAATGAGAAAACCTTATGCTGTATATTTTAGATGCCCGTCTGCTGTCTGTATTGATAGCAGTGTTTGTGTTGCCTTGTTGCTTAGGACAGAAAAAAGGAGGCATTAATTTCAATGAATTGGTGTTGTCTCCGTAACAGTGGTGGAAAGACTGGGTGTGGTAGATGTGCTGCTTTTGATCTCTATCTAGCTGGAGAAG